GAAGAAAAGTCAAGCGTGCAGCTGCCAAGATGCCACTTGCCACCAGTTTGGCCATATTTCAGAGCTGCAACATCACTGGAGTGCCCAAAAGCACAAGGTGTGCAATACTCAGAGACATGGCCAAGGTAAGAAAGGCTGAAAGACGACCACCACTGAACAAGACACACAAGCTGAAACGTCAAGACTGGGCCAAGAAATATCTCAAGACTGGTTTTTCTAAGGTTTTATGGACTGATGAAATGAGAGTGAGTCTTGATGGGCCAGATGGATGGGCCCGTGGCTGGATTGGTAAAGGGCAGAGAGCTCCAGTCCGACTCAGACGCCAGCAAGGTGGAGGTGGAGTACTGGTTTGGGCTGGTATCATCAAAGATGAGCTTGTGGGGCCTTTTCGGGTTGAGGATGGAGTCAAGCTCAACTCCCAGTCCTACTGCCAGTTTCTGGAAGACACCTTCTTCAAGCAGTGGTACAGGAAGAAGTCTGCATCCTTCAAGAAAAACATGATTTTCATGCAGGACAATGCTCCATCACACGCGTCCAAGTACTCCACAGCTGTGGCTGCAAGAAAGGGTATAAAAGAAGAAAAACTAATGACATGGCCTCTGTAGAGTTTGTATTGTTGATTGTCATTTATGCTTAGAAATATTTACTTATATATGCTTAGAGTTTTGTAATTAGTTGTAGATTGGTAGAGGTTTTGATCCTTGATAGTCTGCAAACTTTGTGTGTATTAGACAGCACTTTGGGAGCATGAGAGGTCATACCGTGTCTTATTGTTTTATGGTAGGATTAACGTAGTTGCGTCTGTTCTAGTCTAAGTGCTCTTTGTTTAGATGAACTGCAGGACTTCCTCACCGTGTTATCTAGGATGAACCATCTAGGGTGAGGGGGAGGCTACCCTCTTCCTGACCAAGGATGTTTGACCCTTTGATCAGCAGTCCACACACACACACACACACACACACACACACACACACACACACACACACACACACACACACACACACACACACACACACGGCAAGGTACTCTTTGTGTATGTAACGTCATATGTTAATGAACCTATGCATATTCATGTAACCTCAATAAAAGGACAGTGTACGGGAGGACGGACGAGAGCAACTGGGGTCAAGCGAAGGAACGGTGCCTGTCCGGTTCTCTCCCGTGCACGAGAAACATGAAGAAGCTTGCCTACTTGTGTCTTGCTTTGCAGTGTAATTATATTGTCTTCAACGTTCCAGCGGATAGATTCAAGCTACAAACCTATCCTCCTTGTTCACCTGATCTGAACCCCATTGAGAACCTGTGGTCCATCATCAAATGTGAGATTTACAAGGAGGGAAAACAGTACACCTCTCTGAACAGTGTCTGGGAGGCTGTGGTTGCTGCTGCACGCAATGTTGATGGTGAACAGATCAAAACACTGACAGAATCCATGGATGGCAGGCTTTTGAGTGTCCTTGCAAAGAAAGGTGGCTATATTGGTCGCTGATTTGTTTTTGTTTTGTTTTTGAATGTCAGAAATGTATATTTGTGAATGTGGAGATGTTATATTGGTTTCACTGGTAAAAATAAATAATTGAAATGGGTATATATTTGTTTTTTGTTAAGTTTCCTAATAATTATGCACAGTAATAGTCACCTGCACACACAGATATCCCCCTAAAATAGCTAAAACTAAAAACAAACTAAAAACTACTTCCAAAAACATTCAGCTTTGATATTAATGAGTTTTTTGGGTTCATTGAGAACATGGTTGTTGTTCAATAATAAAATTATTCCTCAAAAATACAACTTGCCTAATAATTCTGCACTCCCTGTGGTTTTGGGGAGCAATATATTAGTGATTAGTAAAGTGCTTTTTTTCTAAATGGATCCATAGATCTGTTGGGCAGAAAATGTATCTTCAAGGTGAATTTCATTCAACAAATCACAATGTCATTTTTTTCTGTTATTGCACCTTTTCTTTTTTAGCTTTATGGATTCATTCATTCGGAGTTGTGTAGGTATTAAGGATGATTATAAACAGAGACACTGACACTGAGCTCATTCTCAAATAAGCCACTCTTTGTGTCATTAAGTAACTCAATCAGGCTAACATCTCATTAGTTTTTAACAAGAGAACATAAAAAGGTAGGGATAGGTATCCATAAATTACCAGTTTATTCCATTATTGGCTCCAAAATGTGTGACAAACCAGCGGGGATTCTGTAGACATATCGGTCGATCCTGTATGAACGTTTTGCATCATTATTAGCAGCTGCAAATTGAGCAATCATGGAAAGTGCAGTCTTAGAGGCTATCAGACAGACTTATTCTCTCCACAATCCGGCTCGGCGGATTTTGTTTTCTGAGAATTGCAAATCATCTGCGGCCTCCTCTCCTCTTACTGGGCTTATTTAGAGGGCCTCGCTTCCCTCTCAGAATATCAAGCACGCAGTACCTGTGGAACAGTTTTGGAGTTGTTCTGATTGCTACATTATTTACCAAATGATTAAAAAAAATACTAAACACATACCTGAACCTGCTCTTTCTTTGCCTTGCTGACAATGTGGCCATTTTAGAGTTAGATGTGTTGGATCTGACACTTTTTTGTTTGTTGTTTTTTACCAGGCATCACTGAGGTTTTTCACACTGTGACCAGATTCTTCTCCTGATCTTCACAGAGCAAAATGGAGAGTGCTGCCTTCCACAGAAACTCTTCATCATCTAACAGCTCAGCCAACACGGAGCTCTTGTCCCGGACTGGTTACACAATTTTGGCCGTTATCATGGGTGTGTTCTCTGCGGCAGGGATCATCCTCAATGTCGTGGTGATTGTGGTGACGGTGAAGCACAGACAGCTGAGGCAGCCACTCAGCTATGCCCTGGTTAACCTAGCTGTTTGTGACCTGGGCTGTGCTGTGTTTGGAGGCCTGCCCACCACAGTAACCAGCGCCATGGGATACTTCAACCTGGGACGTGTGGGCTGTGTGTTAGAAGCCTTTGCTGTTTCCTTTTTCGGTGAGTCTACTTTTTCTTTTTCCTCACATAAATAAAAGAAGAAATACCTTAATGTATTCTAGTACAAGTAAAAGTACCTCAAGTAAAACCACCTGAAGGGAATTTTGTTATTTTATGTAAGATTTGCAAAACTGCATCTGAATAAACAATCACAAAAACACAAGACTTCTGGAACAGTGTCCTTTGGACAGATAAGACTATATTTGACATGTCTGCATGTATATATTGCACAGTGGTGAAAACCAAATATAGCATATCGGCACAAACACTTCATACCAGCTGTTAATCACAGTGGTGAAGAGGTGATGATTTGTATTTGTTTTGCAGCTGTATACCAAAGCATTGTTGAGACAAATGTCAGTCTGACAGCTAAAGCTTGGCCACAATGTGGTCATGCCACAGATAAATGATCCCAAGCACAGCAGCAAATCTACAACAGAATGGCTGAAAAAGAAACGAGTCGAGGTGCTGTAGTGACCTGGTCAAAGTCCAGACCTTGCTTAGTATTTCAAATGCACACAGTCTGTGGAAACTTTCATTTTCTCAAGACTGCTTTTGAACTTTTTGAGCTTAAAAAAAGTTACTTAAAATGAATTATTTAAGATATTTTGAAGGGAAGCTTTTGTTTTTAGTTACGTTATGTACTGTATTTCATGTATTTATGTAAAATCTAATGTGGAAACTAAAATTTAAAACTATAGTTATTGTCATTGAATTAAGATTAGCATTTCTTCCTAGAAATGTAGCACTCAGGTATAGGACAGGTGTCTCAATAGTGCGCACAAATGCAACACTTAGAAAGCAAAAGTAATAAATTATTCTGTCTTTTCTTGCAGGTATAGCAAGTCTGTGCACAGTAGCAGTCATTTCTGTTGAACGCTACGTAGTGGTGTGTTATCCCATGGGTGCGGTCCTCTTCCAGACCAGGTACAGCAGTGACCATCAAGATCTCACTTGGTAATGTTCCTTGCTGTACCAAGCATGTCAGACACCATCTCTGTTGTCCTTAGGCATGCAGTTGCTGGAGTGGTACTGTCCTGGGTGTGGTCATTTGTGTGGAGCACTCCACCTCTGTTCGGGTGGGGAACTTTTGAGTTGGAGGGCGTCAAAACCTCCTGTGCTCCTAAATGGCATAGCCGTGATGTTGGGGACATGTCCTACATGATAATATTCTTCTTCCTTTGCTTTGCCTTGCCCTTTTCTGTCGTCATGGTTTCTTACTCGCGGCTCTTATGGACTCTCCGCCAGGTGAGCAACAAAGGCTGCGCACACCATATATTTTTGTTGATTGTACTGAAAACATAAAGGAGTCCTCTGCGCTTGAATTTTTTTCCTAGGTAACCAAGCTGCAGGTATCTGAAACAGGAAGCACAAGTCATGTAGAGGTGCAGGTGGCACGCATGATAGTAGTGATGGTGCTGGCCTTCCTAGTCACCTGGCTGCCATATGCTGCACTTGCACTTGCTGTCATGATAGACTCCAGTCTATATGTTGACCCTGTCATCGCTACCATTCCTGTGTACTTTGCAAAAAGCAGCACTGTCTACAACCCCATCATATACATTTTCATGAACAGACAGGTAAGCTGGTTTGAAGTACACTTAAATTCACACATACAAACAAAGAAAAAGAGGAATTCAGGCTCATGCTGTATGTTCATGACCAACCATGATCGTGTGTTTCCAGTTTCGAGGCTACACTGTTGCTGCGGTTCTGTGTGGATGGGACCCCTGGTCCTCTGAGCCGCAAACATCTGAGAACGAGACCACAGTTCCATTTTTCATCAAGACCCCCAAGAAAATTGTGCCTAAAAAATCTTTGGAATAGAAATGTGTAGAAATTATTATAGTCTCACTGTTCTCATTATCAACCTCTGCAATGTAGTGCAAGATGGTTTTCACAAATGTAAACAAAATATCAGAGAGTAAAAATGATGCAATGAGCAAGAAGGTTGCACAAATCGTATGTATTAAGGCATAAAAAATAACAGTAATAAAAGCAGCAGTAATAATAATAATAAAAAGAAGATTTCCCTGTTCAGGCAGGCTTCTTTCCTGTTGTCATAACCTTTAATGTATTCAGACAACAGCACAACATCTTTCTTGTCCTCTGTCATTGATATTGTAGATGCTGTCATTGCTTTTTATCTCTTTTAAAGAATAAAAATACAGTTACATTAATCAAGAATAGAGATTACACAACTCACAGTTTGTTTACAGACATTATTTAAAAGATAAAAAGATAAAACCTCACATATGTGAGCAAAATAGCCTCTGTTTACCTCAGTCTGTCAGTCAGGATCTGAATTATCTCTGCTGGCTGAAACACTGGCACACTTTTTGGGTACGCCTCTTTTGCTTTCAGATGTGGTTTGATTTTTTTGTGGCATAGATTCAACATAGAGGAAACATTTCTCAGAGATTTTGGTCCATATTGACGTGATAATATCACACAGTTAATGCAGATTTGACAGCTGTACATCCATAATGCGAATTTCCCATCAGACCTCATCTTAAAGTTTCTCTGTTAGATTGAAACCATCTGAGTACAGTCAACTTGTCATGATCAAGAAACCAGTTTGATATGATCTGAGCTTTGTGACATGGTGTGAGCAGTAATCAGAAGATGAATACACTCAGACCCCAAGTTACACTGCCACTATGCACATCAGCTGTTGATACAAGGCAGGATGAATCAAGGTTTACATGTTGTTTCTGGCCCTGACACCTGAATGCTGCAGACGAAATCGAGACACATCAAACCAGACAAAGTCTTTCCAGTCAATTTTGGTGAACATGTGCAAACTGTAGCACCTGGTGTGGTTTCCCGCTGCTGTAGCCAATCTGCTTCAACGTTCAATGTGTTTTGTGCATTCAGAGACGCTCTTCAGCATGCCTTGGTATCTGAGTTACTGTTGCTTGTTCTTAGCTGGCAGAACAATCAGTTATTTAGGTTACTGTTGCCATTTTGAAGCGACCTGTCCATTCTCCTCCTACATCTGGAATCAACAAGGTATTCTCTCCCAGAGAACTGCTGCTCACTCTCTTTTTTTGGACCACTCTCTGTCGACCCTAGAGATGGTTATGTACACAAATATCAGCAGCTTGTGAATTACTCTGACCAGCCCATCATGCTACAATCAGAGTCACTTAAATCATTCTTCCCCCATTCTCATGCTTGGTTTAGCTTCAACAGGTCATCTTGATCATGTCTACATGAATAATTGCATTGAGCCGCCGCTATGTGATTGGCTGATTAGATAGCTGCATTAACTAACAGTTAAATAGGTGTAGCTAACAAAGTGGACCTTAATTTTCACAATGAAGAAATACAGGCAAAAGCTAAACTAGAAATTTATGTTTTGCAGCAAACTGCTAAAACCCTGTGAAAGTAATAGTAAAGAACACTTGATAGTAACGTATATTCAAAAGATTTAAGACAAGAAAAAAGTAATTACATGATTTTTAATTTTTTATTAGGTATACACATCCTCTTTGTTTCTTAAGGTCTGTCCTTCTATATAACCTTTATGGCTTTCATTGATTGAAAAACATAAAATAAAATCAATCAAAATAATCAGTGTTTTGTACTCATTTTGCAACATGATACTTCATTTCAGCCTTTTGGATCCAGCATGTAGAACAGAAAACAACTAAACCTGTGATAAGTTATGTCACAGTTTGATCATTCACAGTCTCTCACGCCTTCCTAATTAAACACAAATGCAATCATACCCATCCTAGTACCATGGCTTTATTGATTACAGAAATATTGCTATGACTGAAGAAAAGCCCCCCCCCCCAAAAAAAGCCAGAATGTTAATAGCTGTATCAAACCTGTACACTTTTGTATATACAGAGTGGGGGACCATCTATGTACATGCTACATACTGTCACACTCTGGGAAAATAAGTAGTCCTTCTGACAGTTACTGACATGTGATCATTTTCTGAATCAGTTTTATAAAAAATTAAGAAAGATGCAGAAATGACCCTGTCAGTGCCCGAGGTACAGGAAAATCCAAACTAAAATCACAGGCCATCTCACAGATACAGTACATGTTAACATGTCAGCAGATTTGGGTGTGTGAAACAGTTGTGTGCTTGAACACCTGGTGCTTGGAGGACTTACTTTGGTCCTATTTTTCTTTTGTTGTTGTTGTTTTATGGCAGCCTGTAATAATAACAGCATGAAACAACAGTGTGTCTGAGCGCTTCAAGTCCTGTTAAATACTCAGCCCAGTTAGACGCGCTACATGACAGTTTCTGCTGTATTATACACGTATTGGATAAGTCAGATTTGTCATTCAAACTATCTAGTCCCAGTGCTGCCTGCAAATCACACTTCTGTCTTCGTGTACGGTCTCCAGATGGTAAGGTGGTGTTTGGTGTAGAGATCACGCGATAAGGTCATAATGTCTCATGCAAAATTTAAAGGAGGTATTCCTTCTTCAGCAGCAGCTATTTCATATACCAATTAAAACCACTGGTGTTCAATACAGAAACATGCTTAGAGAGATGGCAAGAATAGACTTGGGTAAGTTAGTCTCTTAACATCAACATCTGGGTCAGATAAACAAAGAACGAGTGACAGAAATCGACAGGTTGATGCTGATAAATTGTACCTTGCATACAATTTAAGCCAGCTTTGCAAAGGGTTTCAGGCCACTTCTATCAGGGATGAAACATACAAGACCATCTGTACCTAACACAGCATCCACAAAACAACACAAGGAATAAGTCCTGAGCTCAAGGAATGTGCAACACGTCCCCAGCCAGTCACCTACTGTAAAGACTGAGAACAGCATCCTGGAATTATCTTTGCTTCTGACAAGTAACACATATGATCATATATACAACTTAAAAAAATACATAGAGTTGGGATGGAAAAAGTGGGGATGTTGGATGATCCACTCATGATTTAAAGAGGTAAAATTGGGTGCAAATACGAGGTGTGATCAAAATGTTCTGAGAACCTGTGCATAAAAATCAAACGTCTTACCAGAATAAAATCTACCAATACAGATCATGGCATGTGCAATCAGCTTCCATCACAGCTCTTGGGGCAGGGATAGCTCAGTAGGTAGAGTGGTGGCCCCATGATCGGAAGGTCGGGGGTTCGATTCCCCTGAACAGCTACCCTGAGGTACCCCTGAGCAAGGTACTGTCCCTACACACTGCTCCCCGGGCGCCCAGTGGCTGCCCACTGCTTCACTGAGTGAATGGGTTAAATGCAGAGAGGGATTTTCCCCACGGGGACCAATAAAGTAGTACTCTTGTTTTTTGATCGCTCCACTGAAGTCTCGTTCTGCCCACACAGTGTGCACTCTGAGATTGCACCATGGACTAAAAACTTCTAATAGAAAATATAAACTTCTGTTTCAAACTGACACGGATTTTGTGCAAAGGATCAACCCTGATGATGAGACCCGGGTCTTCAGCTTTTACCAAGGAGTGTTCTGAAGGCAGCGTGTCAGAGAAGGAGTGAGACTGGGAGTTTCCTATTGTAATGTTCTACTGTAACGTCCTGAGGAGCCTGATGGGGAATCCATCTGAACTGCAGTGCCATACCAGTGTACCATCACGTCTTGCTAACCAGCACAATCGCCATGGATGAAGGATCGTCACTTTGAGGAGATCCGGCATGAATCATGGAGGCACAGGCATGGGGCTAACAGAACTGGGCTTCCGGTGAGACAGCTTCCTGTGCACCTCTGCACTGCGCTGAAAGCGGTCCAACGCGAGATTGGCCCTCTTTGGGTTTTTATGGACATGTCCTCAGGACTTTTTGATCACATCTTGTAGAAGAGCTCAACATTAGTACCTGCACATCAGACAACAAATCCGGACAACTTCTGAGTCAAGGCAAAAGAGGAGGGAGGTGTCTAATAATAAGCAGGTTAGGATTTGTACACTTTTACCTCTCTGTCCTTCAACGATAACTTCCTCGTGTATAGAAACAGGAGCATCTTGTAGCGTAGTGTTCTTTACAGCATATAAGAACGTGACAAATATAATTCATGTCTACTACTAGTATGTGGATTGCTGAGTGTTTTTAACTGCAGTAATGATTTGTGCAATATATCTGTCCATGGGTGGTGAAACTGTTTTTTTGTTGTTTTTTTGGTTTATCTGTTTGGGTCTTCTTCATTTCAATATCACTGGTGTGTACTTGATGAGGTATCATAATGACAGCCACCCGGACCGCTAATGAACAATAAGGTGCAAAAATCTACCTCTGTAAACTCCAAAGATCTACACACTTTCAAGTGAGCATCAGCATGTGAGTGTGTTTTTAAGAGAAAAGAGAAAGACGGACAATGACAGAAAAGCAGAGACTGGTTGCATTTAAGGGTTATGTAATAAAGGGCTGAGAGATCAGGCGAGGGTTTAGAGTTGAGGTGCAATATTTAGAGTTTGGATTCAGGCTGAGGTGCGGCATGAAAAAGCTTCTAGTTCTACAGCTCAGTCTCTTTATATACAGCAATAGTCTGAAAGAAAAAACCATGAAAGAGAAAGTCGGGGTTCCAGCTTTCTCTTTCTTTTCATTCAAGTCCGTTCGAGACTCCTTCGTCCTCAAACAGCAAGGTCTGTTTTAAAACCAGCTCACATCCTGAACACTGCCCCATACTGGGCAGCAGTAGTAGCAGCAGCAAGGAGATTCATATACTCTCCGACTTTTCTTCCAGCATCACACACATTTTTTTTTCTCTTTTTTATGTTTGGGTTTGAGCTGAGTCTTTATTTTTAAGAATGAAATCTTCAGCCTTAGTTTTGTGTGGGTTTGTTGTCATTTTGCAGTGTGTGTGTGTGTCTGTGTGTGTCTTTTTTTTCCTGTCAGTATGTATTTATGTGGCAGGGTGCGTGTGTGTCACTCCTTCAGTGTGTAGGCGGCAGGGTCAGTGGATGTATGTCTGACAGACAAGCTCCACGTGTCACTGTCCTCCTGATCTCATCGCCGGCACTAAAACAGCACACTCTGCCTCCTGCTCTTCCCTTGGGCTGAGAGAGAGACAGAAGAAGACAGGGGAGAGAGAGAGGGAACGATGTGAAAAACAAATAAACAAACAAACATTTGGATGTGATTTGGACACTCAAACATTGTAAATTTCACTCCATGCCAGCAACACAATAAATTCAGTTGGGTCCAGAAACACTGGACACACTTTCATGAACGCTGCAGCAATTTGTTTCAGTGTGATTAATCACACAACTTAAACTTAACCAACTAGTCAATCAGTCTAGAAAACATCACAAAACAGCGAACAGTATCTGTGTTACACCTTTCAATCACTAGTTGATAAACATTAATATTTTACTAGATTGCAAACCTACAAATCATCCAGTCATTTTCTCTGCATTGACCACTCGACTGACAAGTTTTCTAGGGGCTTGATGTGAATCCTTTTAGGTTCAGTGAGGGTGTATGTGTGCTGGAAATGCCTGGCTCAATGTGACAAACCCATCTTCATTGACCTTGCTTTGTGTACATAGGGCACATAGTTGCTGCTAATGACACTTCTCTACTGGAAATTTGAATAAATATAATAAATTAAAAAAGAAGCAGTTTGCGTAATGCTGCTTAAGCTAAATCACACTTACCAAAAGTATAACACACAGCACATTAAAGCACTCAAATCCATGCTAATTTAAAAAGACTTTTGCACACAAAAGTCAAACAAACTCACAGCACAAAAGCCTCACTTACAGACATTACATCTCTCGCTGCAGAAATCTAAACAGGACTGGAAAAAAACAAAAAAATCTAATGACCCCCTGTCCTCAGATCACATTCTTTGCTCTTATGAACAAACTGTTGCCCCTTTGATTCCCTCACATGAATATTAGGAGTGGCTTGCTCTGAGAAAAAAAAGAGGATTAGTGAAGTGAAATCTGAAGAATGCTTGTGGGAACAGGCTTGAATGTGAAGAGGAACAAACAAAACACAGACATGAAGAAACAGCTAATAAATAATATGTTGTTTTAGTTGACAGGGTGCAGGGAGGGAAGATGGATATAATTAAATGCAATTCAGGAATGGTCTTATATAAAGTGGTGTTTGCAGCAAAGGAGCGGTGCTGACAGAGAAGAAGAAAAAAAGGCCCGGTGGCAGCCAAACAAAAAAAAGAAAGCGAGAGCGAGATTACTGACACATGAAAGAGACTGTATTTACCAGAACAGTAGGGCCACTCAGCCAGTGGAAGTAGAGGAGAGATTGTGACTCTGAGCCCTGGGATTGGCTGCCTCTCTCTGGAAGTACTGCGAGGGTGCGGAGCCTAGCTTATTGGCCATCGCTTTTTTGGGTTAGGGAGAAGGGGGGGAGGTTGGGAATATTGAGGTGTTACGGAAGAGTTGGAGTAGGGTACACAAGGGAGATTAGAGAAAGGATTAAGGAAAAGATGAGCAGTGCAGAAGAAGAGAGCATGGGCACCAAAGAGAAGGGACAGTTTATCAGAACATGACAGCGAGGCAACACAAGCAGAAAAACAAAGATACACACACACAGACTGTGATAAGGACAGAAACTGTGAAACAAATCGAAGCAAATGTTGAAGGGTTAGGGTTAATGTACAGAGACTCAGACAAAGGCAACTCTCCCCAGCTGCATTTCAGCAGCCATGTATACAAGGTTTGGTGGACTGGTTTGTTTACATGTGACGGGACTTCAGGAAAGCTAAACATACTCTAAAATGGATCTAAGGCCACATTCACGTTTCTGTACTGCTGTACTTGAAGCTGACTTAAACGCTAACGCTAGCATGGCAACCAGATCACAGTGATGTGAAGTCTTTATGTCAGTCACAGATAAAACTAGATTGTGCTATTTGCTTCCACTATTCATGAATTTAATATTGCTTCTGAGTGAATGGCATTGTGCGATGTTAATACTGGAACTGGGGGATCTGTGTGTGGTGAAGGCTGAACCTGGTAATAGACCACACAGTGGCATGAGAAACGACAAAAAGCAAACACTTAGAGGAAGAGCAAGAAGAGGAGGAAGACAGGGAGCAAGTCCTATCCTGTATCATACTTTTATCGAAGATTCCTGATTTCTCTCATTTCATCCCTTCCTTCTTTTTCTTTTTAAATCTTGAGCACTTACATGACTCTGGGTAGACTGAGGATCTCTTTCCGGGATCTTTCTGGAGTTGAATCCCTTTTACAGAGAAGATGGATGCAGCTAAAAAAGAAAAACAAAAGAAAAACAAGCAACAAAGGTTATGTGGGACAGTGTTTGTGCAATTAATGTGGATATTCAAGTCAAATGCATGTACTCACTGTCAGCCAGAGTCTGAACCTGTTCTCCAAGACATTTGAAATAAGAGTGTTTGAGAGCATCCTCAGCCAATATCCGCTTCTTTGCTTCAAACTAGGGACACATAAAGACAAAATCATTATGGTGTACATGATCTGTAAACAGCAGATAATTGTAATTAATTATGTTCTTTACCTGTAAGAGTTTTGAGAGCAAGTCATGACCTTCATTGTCTATCCTGTGTGACAGAAAGCAGAGAAAAAAATTAAGAGCGGATGGAAAGAACCGAGAGGAGTGGAAGTGAGATCAAAAGCTGCGCAGGAATCTGGTGTTCCCACTGTTTCCAAATGGTCATTATGTTTTCCTCCAGAAAATGAATCTTAATCTGCACATGCAGGCCTCCACTAGATCTTTATACCTGGGTGCGTGGTTCACAAGGGGCTCTGCGTGGTAGCGGGGAAAATTGTATGTCTTAAACTCTTCACTGGTGGTGATACCAGGCCAAGTCTCTTCTGTGGGAGTACCTGGAGAAGACAAAGAGCATAATTTAATACAGGGAGTGCAGAATTATTAGGCAAGTTGTATTTTTGAGGAATAATTTTATTATTGAACAACAACCATGTTCTCAATGAACCCAAAAAA